GCGGGTTGATCCAGTTTGAGACTAGGGCTAGCTAAATGCACTGAAAACCCGGCCGAACCAAACGATTTGGTCTTTAGATTTTTTTATTATTTATTAAAAAACCAAATCAAACCGGTTTAGTTTGATTTAGAGCTGGTTTAATTTTATAGATTCAATTGCAACCAAACCAAACCACTCATAGCCTCTCGAGTTCATCTCTCTCCCAAACTTCTACCTCATCTCTCTCTCTCTCTCTCTCTCTCTCTCTCTCTCATCATCGTCAATGAATTAGTGGATCAATTCAAAGCTCTGCTCGTCATCAGAGCCTTGCCTTGCCACTTCTCTTCTCCTAATTGGATGTCATTGAAACGAACCAACCCAACCCAATCCAATCCAATCCATCATAGTTGGTGAACTGACCTTGTGAGTTAGAACCTTAGTTGGTTTTGGTTTCAATTTGGAATTTTGCGCAATCGATTTGGACGGTTCAGTAGTCAATTGGGCGCACAACCAAACTAACCCAAATCACGCACACCCCTAATGGAGACTAAACCCTAATCCCATCTGAATTTAGGTTGGCTTTGTTGGTCTAGTAAGTTCAGTAGGTTGGGGTTGAGAACCAAGTTTGCTTCGTGGATCTTGTTTTTTTAAATACTTTCCTTTTTAGTTTTTTTATAGACTCTATAAGTTTAATTTTTGTATATGGCATGTAAACTTACTTGGAATGAGAGAAGCTATGAATCAGGAAAGTCAAAAATAAGGAAGAGAATGAATGAGTATGAGATTAACTACTCCCCTCTAAATAAAATAATTATTGGCTTTAGAATCTGGTTAACACTTATATAATGTTCAGTAATAATCATCTCCTGTTAAAGGTGATTCTACTTGTCACATAATGTTTAAAATAGCATTCTGGATCACACAACTCCATTTCCTGCCGAATACATCCAAGCAAACAGAGACCAAATATTATGCACATGCAAAAAAAAACAAACAAACATATATCTAAGTCAGATCAATATATGCATTCACCTAGTGAGGATCATATGGCTGCTGTGATGCGTATTCTGAGTTACTTAAAGTCTACTCCTGGTAGAGCTTTATTATTTAAAAAATAGTAAATTGAGCTTAAACCCATAAAATTCATTTTAAATCACCTACAACCCTTTCTTTTAGTTTTCTATTTAAAATACCCAAAATTTTCAAATAATACCCGATGACTAGGATCCAACTAAGCAAGTTACCTAATATAACTTAAAATCTGATTTATTGTATTTTTTGGATTCCAAAACTATCCCTATTTATGACTTAATGTGTTATGGGGGATGTAACTAATGACACACGTTGAATTTGGAAAGATTACCAAATGGTTGTAATGGATGTAGGAATTAATTTAGAAACTTATTTGAAATTAAATATTAAATTCAACATTAACGTATTAGTAATCTATTTTTGAATTAATGTTGTTTTTTATGAATTACTACTAGTGATCTATTTAACTTATTAGTAATTTACATTCAATATTAAATTTAGGAATTAATGTTGTTTTCCTTTTATGAATTATACGCTTAGTAATCTATTTTATTTTATGAATAATAGTGTAAATTTTAATTATGTTGAAAAATAATTTGATAATCTATTTAGTATTTGTTTTGTGAAAAATATTTTTTTTAAATGAACCTATTTTTTCTCTAAATATCGTACCTATTTTTTTCTCTAATAATGTATACCTAGTAAAACAATTTACCTAATATAATGAACTTATTTTTTTCTTCTAAATAAGGTACCTATTTTTAATTTATAAAAAATGTGCATAAATTTCAATTATACAATGCACCTATTTTCTATAAATTATTGTGTACCTATTTTTAATTTTTGAAAAATGTACTGAAATTTCAATTACAAAGTAACTGACCTCTTTTTTTTTTTTGGTAAATAATATACCTATATATATATATATTTTCATATGTACATTATTGGATATGTAATTTACATATATATATTTTTGGTTTGTAATTTTAGAGGGTAATATGTTAGAGGGTATAACAACCAAAAGAAATGGGATGATTGATATGCTATTAATAGGGAGTTTTAATTACAATTATGGCAGGTAATGAAATGCATGGAATAAATTATAAATTAAATATGAAGTTTGATGGCAATGATGTAAAAACACAGGAATACTATGACCTCTTATATCCTACCGGTTATTTAAGTTTGAAATTGGGTTTTACACATAGATTTATAGGATGATGGGTATATGTCTAGGAAATAGAAATTGTAGGGACCTATATTGGACAAGCCCTGGTCACTTGAATCTAAAAGTTTACAATAATGCATATTATGCAGGAAAATGTTACAGATGGATGTTCTACATAAGGTTACTTCACCTTTGTTGGCGGTAACCTGGTTACATGGCATAGCAAGAAACAAAATATTGTATCACAGTCTTCTACAGAGTCTAAGTTAGAGGGATTGCCCAAGGGGTTTGTGAAATACTATAGTTGAGGTGGTTGCTTACTGAAATTGGGTTTAGGCCGACCACTGCTACAAAGCTCCACTATGATAGTCAGTCTGCATTTGAAATTGCTAATAATCTGGTGAAACATGATCAAACTAGGCATGTAGAAGTTGATTGACATTTCATTAAGGAGAAGATAAAGCACAAGTTAATTACAATACCTTTTGGGCCTTGATCGGCATTTCATTAGGATAGCTTAGGTCAACACTCCTCCTCAAGTTGGTGCATATACGTCACCACAACTTGGTAAGTGAGTCATAAAACACTCGTCCACAGATAGCTTTTGTTAAGACATCCACTAATTGATCTTCTGATTTTACAAACAAAGGGTTACAGATGATATTGTTCTAAATTTTTTCTTTGATGAAATGTCTATCCACCTCAACACGTTTAGTTCGATCATGTTGAACTAGATTATGAGCACTATCGATAGCTGACTTGTTATCAGAATGTAACTCCATTGGCTTCTCTTGTTTTGGATGCTGAGATTATTTCTTTTCTATTCATATGCTCCGAGTATCAGCTAGCAGATGTTCTTATGAAACCTGTGTCTACTACTATCTTCAACAACTCACTTGACAAGTTGGGCATGCGTGACATCTTTGCTCCAATTTGAGAGGGAGTGTTGGCGAGATCCTAATTCTATTAGGAGATTTATTTCCTATTCTATTAGGATTTTATTTCTCTCTTTTGTACAAATCTTGTGTAATTAGGAGTTTATTTGTTTCCTTGTATAACCCTACTAGGGTTTACACACTTGTATTATAAATACCTCTTTTTGGAGAATAAAAATATATCATAAAATATTCTACCCCATATTGTTTGACTTGCATGTATTACACACTTGATTTCTGAACTTGCATGTCGATTTTCAAGCAAATAACCTCATAATTTAGTCCGGTAATTCTACTCTCTTTCAACCTCTCGTTGATAAGAATGGTGGCTTGAGTTCATCCGAATTCAAATCGAAGAGAGAGAGGGGGAAGAGACAAAAAGGGAAGAGGCACAGAAAGAGGAGAGACAAAGAGCTCTCTCTCTGGTGGTATTTCTTTAAGGGGTTTGGATGGGTTGAGAAGATGTAGAGAAAGGGAGAGAGCTCGTACGATTGCAGAGAGAAGGGAAGAGAGAGAGAGAGAGAGTTGGATTGGGGTGAAGTGGAAATTGGACGCACGCATGCATCACGTGCATATTAATTAATGAAATTAACAAATCGAACTTGATTTGCTGACGACCTAAAGTATAATGACCAAAATCGGAAAATTAAAAGTTTGGTGACCAAAATTAAATTCAACCCTAATCCGAGTGATCAAAAATGTAATTACCGCCAAAAAGAGACTTCTAGCAAGACAATATTCCCTAAAAGTTCTAGCAAGAATATGTTGGTGTAGCATTTAGCTGCTTAGTATGTCTATTAGTTTGGGATTACTGTCACTTTAAAAAAAAGTTGCTTCTGCTGTGCTTTGAAAATAATTAGCTGTAAAGTAAAGCAACTCCATGTTTTGGTAAACAATATTTTTAAAGTGCTGTTAGTACAAAAAGTAGTGTAAAAAACGTTTGGTAAATTTTAATATAAATTTGTTGTAACTGTGAATAATGACTAAAATAGACATGATGTTAAAAGTGTTATGTACTAATCATGTGGTGGTAGTTGTAGTGATGGAGTGGAGGTGGTGGTGGTGGTGGTGTTGGTTGTGGAGGTGGTGGTGGATTTGGAGGTTTTGGAGGAGGTGGTGGTTGCGGTGGTGGTGGTGGTGGTGGTGGAGGTGGAGGTGGAGGTGAAGGAGGAGGTGGTGGAGGAGGTGGTGGTTGTGGTAGTGGTGGCGGAGGATGTGGTGGTGGTGGTGGTGGTGGCGGTGGTTGTGGAGGTAGTGAATGTGCTGGTGCAAGTGGTGGAGTTGGATGTGGAAGTGGAGATGGAGTCATTTTTTAAAAATGAATGATGGTATTTTGGGAATTAAAAAAATTCATTAAATGTTCATCTCTGTTTCTTTTGAAAAGCAACCCAGAACCTACTTTTAAAAGCTACTGTCAAAAGGCCATTGCTTTTAAAATAATCGGGATATTTTCTTTTTACCAAACACCTTAAACTGCTTAACTTTAAAGTAAAGCAGGTTTTTGGCCAAAAAAAGTAATCCCAAACAAGGCCTTAATAGATCCAAATCAAAGAGTAAAATGATTAAAATCCTTTGAAGTTGCAACAAATGCTTACTGGAAGATTTTTTTTTTTTCGTTTCTTTATGTTTTCACAACTGCTTTTCATTGGGATTCAGGATTCTGGAGATTGAATTTTGTTGTAAGAAAACTGAAGAAAAGAAAAGATTGATTTTTCGTTCCAAACAAGTTTCTTCGTAGTGAACTAGAAGATGAAGTTTATTTGAGTGTACAAAAAAGGTTGGCCTACACAGGTGCTTTTCATATGAATGTTGTCAATAGATGCAACATTTGAAGGGTTGTCCAAGAAGAGCTATATATATGCGTAAAAATAGTTATAGTTCCATGGTTGAAGAAAACAGAGCTTGGTTTTCTCTGAATTTTATCCTTTCATTCAAGACCTACCTACCGTGAATTCAGAACAGACTGAGATACATTAATTAAATTAAACTATTTACATGTTTTTCCACAACACTTCCCGAACCACCTAAGATTATTTTACAATGAGATCAACGATTCTGTTCGGAAGTTCCATTTAAAAAATTTACATGATAAAACTTGAAAAGTGATAAAACACATTTGTCACCTGACTTGGGGTGAGTGTGGTTCTTGTCCTGCATAAAGACTAGGATGGTTAGTCTGATGAGGAACGATACATCTCATCAGCATAAGCGGAGGGTACATAAACTGCATTGAAAAGTGAACTATGGCTCCGGCCGTAAAACAAGTATACCACTGCTCCTATGGCAAACCATATAGAGACGCGGATCCATGTGGCAGCTCTGTGAGTTAAATATGAAACAAATAACCAGTCGTGAATATAACATACTTGGAAAGTTATAGATAAATATATTCAGATTTTGTGTTTGCATGTGAATTTGATTATTTGTGCGTGTTTAGAGGGGAAGGGAGAACTCACCCAAGATCAATTAGCAAGTAGGTATTTATGAGAATACAAGCAGCAGGTAAGAATGGAACAAATGGACAAGTGAAACCTGGAGAGGGGGAAAAAGACGTTTGTTATGTCAGCAGTTATTGAGATATATCTATGGCTTTCGCCTGCATGTACAACCACACCAGACTTCTGAATTCATCAACTGCACTTTACCCCTCCCAACTGATTCTAAAGATTGGGTTTAACTTTTGAAGGTTGCAATGTAGTAACATAAAGAATACGGATTACTAAACTACATTGAGTTTACTAAATAGTTTGCTTAAATTCCGAGGATGAAGTCCATTCTCAGCACTAGCAGAAAACTTAGAGACCAAAATTTTTAGTGTATGGACCCATCAACACTGACTAATGATAGAAATTAAATGTACCTCCAGTGTGTCCAAAGCTGTGCCTTCCATCATCTTGATCTATACAGGTCAGCACAATTAAGCAGCACAGCAGGAGAGCTCCACATACTCCACACACAGTGAAGCGAAGAATGCTACAATCAATAAGTTGGGACAAAGTTATTATGCATTAAAATAAATCCGATGAAATTGTAAGATATGCATGCGCGAATCTCTGATCTCATCCCTATTCACATATGATTTACAGAGAAAAAACTGCATATGTTTATTATGGAATACACCTAAAGCATAAAGAGCCCAGATATTTAATAGAATGCTGGTCAAATCTAATGTTAGAGTTTTTCAAAATAGATTTCCTCTTGTTGGATTCTGGATTTGTGAAATTCAGGCTTGTTTTCTCTATACTAGCATTTCAGCTAAGCCCAGTGTAATGTTGTCTTATAAACTATATGTGTGTGCTAAGAAGCATATCAGCTGCATGGACAAATGCCAGATAAGCAAATTTTCATGGATTGAATCAAACTATGAAGGAAATGGAGATTCCAGGTGATATTTGACATTTGGACTAATCTTCTCTTTTACCACGTAGGTTACAATATGCACGTAACATGCCTAGGATTATCAAACATTAAACATTGTACAATTAACAAAAAAAAAAAATAATGATGAAAAGGAATCACCATAAAGTTTGATGGGAATGTGCATCCAATACAGTACACTTTTGATGAGTACATTGGTACAACCTCACACAGATATAACTTGGCACAACCCCATCCTGGAACTTGCAAACTAACAAACCAATGGGGATGGGGACGAGAGTTTTTGAGCCAGGATCTACGGAAACCAGTGATCCAATATGATTTTATATCACCCCAAATCCAAAAATCTTAAGTTGTTGGGGAATAGGCCAACAATATAGATCAAGCTAACCAAATTTCTTGTCAAAAAAACCAAAAAACCTATCTAGAGTCAAAATTCTGGTCAAATACAAAAAAGGCGATTAATCAAAATTCAACATGCTTAAAATGTACTTTGAAAAAATGACAAACCTGGAAAGGCCTTGAGCTGAAGCTGCAAATGCAAAGATAAAGACCCCTATACAGAGAAAAGTTATGGTCCATGCAGCAATTTTCCGTCTTGTTTGTTCATTTTGATTCTCTGTATGATTATTATGAGTCAAAAAGAGGAACATCATGGTCCTAACATGTTGTAGATAAAAAATTAAGAAAACATTTGCACTTTTAAAAGCAGAAAGAATCATGAATGGACTATCATGAAAATATTCAACTTTATCTCAAAATGAAAACAAGCCTAAGGTACATCCTAGGTAGAAATTTCAACCACACACTAGGTACAATATTATGAAAAGAAAAACCAAAGATCATAATAGCCAAACCTGTGTCCCTCCCCCCAACCAAACAGAAAAGTTCTAATTTGGAATTTGAGTTCGAAGTATAATCATCTAATATATATATATATATATATATATATATATATATATATATATATATATATATATATATATATATATATATATATATATATATATATATATATATATATATATATATATATATATATATATATATATATATATATATATATATATATATATATATATATATATATATATATATATATATATATATATATATATATATATATATATATATATATATATATATATATATATATATATATATATATATATATATATATATATATATATATATATATATATATATATATATATATATATATATATATATATATATATATATATATATATATATATATATATATATATATATATATATATATATGTATTATTGTTTAATGTTTCATCTTGCAAGGGAAAGTCAAGACATAATGAGTACAGAAATGGTGAAGAAGAATGCTATTAAAATTTTAATGAGACTATACATCAGCTTAAATGTGATAATGTGGCAGAAAAAGAAATTTTATTTTGAAGATCACAATAAGTTGAAAAACACGGATCCTACACCAATTGTCTAGGATAAAAACTTAGCCAATTTAAATTGAAGCCATCTTCATTTTACATGGAATGAGATCCTAGTGGCTAGTGCAAATGAGACTATCCTAACTTTAAGAGAATATGACCAATTTGGTCCCTTAGTTTGGGTGTTTTTAGGTTTCTGTAGTTTCAATTCTTTTTCAATCAGGTTGTCATAGGCTTCGTTTACATTCAAGGGCAAATTAAAGAATCTGTCAATTAGATAGACAGAAATGTAGTGCGCCTCAGGTGCACGTGGGAGGTTAGGGCAGGGACCGGAATGAAAATGAACTAACTCTATTGATATGATAAAAATAAAAAGGCTTATTATCACAAAACATCCCTGACGTTTGCGAAATTATCACATTGCATCCCTAATGTTTTTTTGTATCATTAATGGTCCCTAACGTTAATACATGTACTCTTAAATAGTCCCTCTGTCAAAAAAACCGTTAAATTCAAGGGTATAATCGTCAAATCAATCCAAAACTATATAATAAAAAATTTCTTCCCTTCTCTCTTCTTTTCTTTCTTCTTTCTTCTTTCTCTCCGCCTGGCCCTGCTCACTCTTCTTCTTTCTTTCTTTTTTCCTTCCTCTCTCTCTCTCTCTCTCTCTTTTTGTCTCCTCTAGCCACCCAAACCACCACCCCGACCACCAAAGCCACCACTCTATCTGCAACTCTCTCCCTGCCCCCTCCCACAGCCCACCAACCCATCCACTCTAGCCACCCAAACCACCACCTCGACCTCCATAACCACCCCCTCTATGTACTTTCTCTGCAACTCTCTCCCTGCCCCATTCCATAGCCCACCAACCCAGCACTCTAGCCACCCAAATCACCACCCCGAGAGAAGGAAAGAGGAAGAAAAAAGAGAAAAAAGAAAAGAAAAAAAAAAGAGAATGAAGGAAAGAAGAAAAATGAGGAACAAAGAAGGAAAGAAGAAAAAAAAAGGGAGAGAAAAGAAGAAACAGCGAAGGAAAAGAAGAAGAAAAGAGGAGGAAAGAGAGGAGAAAAAAAAAGAGAAACAGAGAGAGAGAAGGGAAGAAGAAAAAAAAAGAGAAAGAAGGAAAGAAGAAAAATGAGGAACAAAGAAGAAAAAAAAAAGGGAGAAAAGGGAGAGAAAAGAAGAAGAAAAGAGGAGGAAAGAGAGGAGAAAAAAAAAGAGAAACAGAGAGAGAGAAGGGAAGAAAAAAAAAAGAGAAAGAAGGAAAGAAGAAAAATGAGGAACAAAGAAGGAAAGAAGAAAAAAAAAGGGAGAGAAAAGAAGAAACAGCGAAGGAAAAGAAGAAGAAAAGAGGAGGAAAGAGAGGAGAAAAAAAAAGAGAAACAGAGAGAGAGAAGGGAAGAATTTTTTTTTTTATAATTTTGGATTGATTTGACGATTGTACCCCTAGATTTAACGGTTCTTTTGACAGAAGGACTATTTAAGAGTACATGTATTAACGTTAGGGACCATTAATGATACAAAAAAACATTAGGGATGCAATGTGATAATTTCGCAAACGTCAGGGACGTTTTATGATAATAAGCCAAATAAAAATAAAAAATCATCTAACTAATTCACGGATTCTTAACTTTTCCTTGATTGTAAAAGAAAATTAACTAGAAGAACCTGATTGAAATAATTAAAACTACACAGATCTAATTGAAAAAGCACCCGAACTACAGTGATCAGTCATTTTCCTTATTCTTAGTCCCCCATGTTCAGTGAGGGTCTCTGCCCACTCCAAAACAAAAGCATCATGATTTCAGTACATTTCAAGTCAAATATTTGTTTTCCCATACTTCAAATCAATTAAGACACTATTACCTCGTGGTATGCTTTTCTGAATCAGAGGATAGCCAAGTGATGCCTCCCCAATTTCTTGTAAATACCGACTATTATTCTCAGATGAACCAGAAGGATTTTGAAGGATTTTGCTGTCAGTTTCCTGAATATTAGGACCAAACCGCAATGATTCTGACTTAATAGACTCTTGAAGTGATGATGAAAGTGGCACCTCATCTGGTGGAACATATCTGAGTATCAAAACTGAAACTGCAGCAGTTGTAAATGCAAATAGTGTACCAACACTAACCTGTATCCACAAAATATATACATAAATGTAAGAGTGAAAACAAGAAAACGATAAAGATTCATCTCTCTATACTCAATATCTTTAAATTCATTATTTATATAGACGATGTGATCATCCTTAAAATCTCCAGTCCAAAACTTTGGTTAACTTACCATCCCCGCCAATTGTGAAACATCCATAAAGAATGCCAGAACTGCTGCAAAGATACCAGTTGTAACCGTGCTCTTCACAGGAACTTGGGTGTTTTTATTGATGTCTGAAAAAAATGATGGCAACAATCCATCTCTAGCCATTGCCATCAGTATCCGTGGCTGGAAAATCAAACACATGAGAGATTTCCAATTATTAGGTGGAACAGATCTCTGATTTGCGATAATAAGTGCCTCCAAATAAATGGAAACTAAGGTAATCATTAAGAAGCATAGCAGATATAAAGACCTATTGATGATACACCACCATTAAGGTTTTGGTGGCACAAACTTATAGTAGGCCATCTAACAGATCCATTGTCTTCCCCAAAATACCTTTTCTACTAAAGATAGATTAGTCTATCATATGCTGCTGAATAGTTAAAAACAAACGACAGTTTTTAGATTATTTTTGCAATGGATTTGTTTTTGATGTTTTGTTATCTTTAGAATCCGGTTAATACTTATATAATGTTCAGCAATAATCATCTACTGTTAAAGGTAATTCTACTTGTCACATAATGTTTAAAATAGCATTCTGGATCACACAACTCCATTTCCTGCCGAATACATCCAAGCAAACAGAGACCAAATATTATGCACATGAAAAAAAAAAACATATATCCACGTCAGATCAATATATTGAAGTTTTAGGGTGTGGAGATATTGATATTAATATGGGAGATTACAATATTGTATGTAAAAAATTTGTCAATGCAACTTACTATAATGAATGCTTGGCATAGTAATTTTGCAGGTACATAGGAAGTATAACGCGTTGTCACTTTGACGCATAAAATATTAAACCCAGTTGATATGTTGTAACAGCAACTAGCAAAAGATTAATTAAATACTATCAATTTTCTTGGTAAAATTAGTGCACACGCATTCACACTAGGGCTGATGTCTCACTCTATCTAGTTCTATCATCTCTTATCTTATAACATGATTTGACTATATGATAACAGGAATACTTAATCTGAAGGCTGAATGTACCAGTATATAATAAAAACTAAGGCACAGCATTTGTGTGGGTGCAAATCAGACTCAGAATCTATTAGTAAGGACAAAGCCATGGAATGAGCCGATTCGTGAAAGAAATTCTATCAGTGCTACCTCCTAAATTTTGACTGGTAACCTTAAGATTTTTTAGACATAAAAAGAGAGTCTTGTAGTCCTTTCTCAGTATGGGAATGCAATGCAAACAAAACAGCAAACTCTTCAGGCATTGACACAAAAGCTTCAAGAAGAATTCTTTAAAACTGTCAGGAAAGTCCAAAAGAATCGACCAATATGTAATTGAATAAGCAGGAGTAAATGGAAAAACTCCATAAAACTCCAGTCTGCATTAGTAAAACTCCACAGGAAAGAGGCTCATAACTATGCTAAATAATAAAATAATAAAGGTACTACCAACACACCTGGGCAAGAAGTGAACCCAACAAACTTGCAAAGAGAGCAGTAACTGCTCCAGTTGTTATAATATACCTGCAATATATGCATATGAATCTTAAAAAAATTTGTTTTAAATGGAAGGCATATCACGATCCTGGAGAACAGAGTAACAACAGAACCAGGAAGCAAATATGCTTACACTGCCCATTGTAGCCCATAGCTTGCAAATACTGATGAGATGGGAGTGTCTGGATCTAAGGCATAGTACGGTACTAAGCCCGTAATAACAAAAGATACAAACATATACAAGATGCAACATATAAACAATGCTATTCCAATACCGAGGGGCAAATCTCGTTGAGGATTCTTCACCTGTCATAAATAATATGTTCTTAAATTCTTGAACAGGAGCCCAACAATAACATTTTTATAAAATTTGATTTGACCATTAAATCACGCATCATGATAATCTGCTACACAAAATTCTTACCTCCTCAACTGTGCTGGTAACTGAATCAAAACCAATATATGAAAAGAAGACCACAGCAGACCCAGCAAACATCCCATTTATTCCAAAGGGAAAGTACCTAAAAAATTAAAGCGCAATGTGAGGTAGACCAGTAGTCTAGTGAGATTATTATATAACAAATTTTGACAACAAGACCCCCATTACCCGCTGGGAAGTTCATATCCAACCCATCCAGTTTTGAAACCCAAATATCCACCGGCTATCATGATGAAAAGCATGACAGACACGTTTACTGACGTAACAATCATTTGTACCAATGAACTCTGAGAAATTGAGTTCTTTGCTTTAGTAAGAAATGCAACAAAGAAAAAGAAAACTTTAATAGATGAAAAAGATTGAATGATTGTTTAGGAAAAAGAATACCTCCTTTATCCCTGTGCACAAGAGAAAAGTGACGATAAGAACTAATACCGCTGCACATGGATCAACCACAATACCAAACACAGGGATGGTATGAGGGGCCAAGATTGCAGGCAACTTATCCACACCTCCAAAAAACAAGGCCTGAATAAAGAAACAGAAGAACCATATAATATCTATTAACACTGAGGATCTCCCCCATTGTTTTCTATAAAAACTACTAAATTTGAAGCGACAAATTACTTGAAAAATAATCAATGACAACTTGTAAGAATGACGATGCATTAAAACAGATGGAGGCTTCTCTGCTGCTAACATCATATATCTTTTAGAATGGTTTTTTTTTTAAGTTGTACTAACACTCTAACTCATCAATGGAAAGATATGGTTATTTCACTCTAACCCAATCAGAGATATTGTAACTCATAGAAAAAGTTCATTTCTGTTCCAATTGTTCTATTAAAAAAAAGTCAGTTTGAGTGAGAAGTGTTTTCTTGATGGAAAGCATCTGGAGAAGTCTTATAGACCTTGGAAGGCTGAGGGATGACATCTTTTTCAACACAACAAGAACTGATTATAACAAAAAGGAGGAAGGTTTGAGCAGCACAGGGCTCATACAATAACTTAAGTATTTTAGGCGTTCCACAGTTATGTGCCAAGATATATTGTCAGAAAGAAGGCTTGTTTTACAAGTATTGCAAAGCGAAAAGCAAAACTGGTCAAATGATACTCACAACTGATCCTCACAGGTACACATTATTTATTATTATTCTTTTCAATGCATTCTACACGTACATATTTTTTAATGTATTATAACATTCTAACATTCTAACACAACAATACACACACACACACACACACACACGCACACATAGATATGTATATATATACCAGATATGCAAAATAAGCACAATTGCATATGATGATGACAAGCGAAGACACAAAAATACACTACCATATTTGGGGTTATGCCACGAGCAACAGCTGCACCACCAATAGTATATTCTAGAATCAGAGCCCAACCTACCAACCAAGCAACACTAAGGCAACCACCAAGATGTTATTGTATTAGTCACTAAGAGAAGGTTTCATAAACATAAATAAAAAGAAAAATTGTCATGAATTACAAAAATTAAGAACTTAGCAATATGCTGGATAGTTTAATCATTTTCTCAAAAATTACAAAAATTTATTCTAATAAAGAAATTTCCTTTTTACTTAAGTCAGAAAATTTCGAACCAGTATGCCTTGAACAGATCTACTAACAAGTTATTTTACGATTTGCCTACATCAAAAAGTGGATTCATCGAACAAATTAATGTGCACTGAGGTTGAGACTTCTGTTGACATTCAAATGATTAAAAAGATTCTATAATACCCTTCTCCAACGCATATGTAGGAATAATGATAGGCACTTCCAGCAGATGGGCAACGACATGCAAGCTCCGCATAACAAAATGCTGAGAGTGCAGCAGCTATCCCAGCAATTAAAAATGAAATAGTAAGTGCAGGTCCTGCATGCTCTCTAGCAACTGTGCCAACAAGAACATATACTCCGGCACCTATAGTAGCTCCAACTCCTGATTGAAAGGAAGTTTTAAAAGAATGATCTCTATGTTTGAATGATCTCTATGATTGTAGGGAAATGAAAACCACACAGAAAAATAGAAGGGCATAGGTTTTAGGCATAAGTTGGAAAAAATTTCAGATCAATGAAATAATGAAAATCAGAGAAATAATATATATATCTCACTTAAACATCAAAGAGCATCGTATTCTGGTTTCTAGTGAAAAATATGTTAACGTACTAAGATAGGTTTTATCTAAAGGCCTAAGGCCCTGTTTGGTATGGACTATGCTTAGGGACTGTCCTGGATTGGATTGGCTTGGCTTGGTCTAAGCTGGATAAGATTTGTCCTGTGTTTGGTGTAATGTCGGACTAAGAAGCTGGATAACGAAAATAGTACTATCCTGTGTTTGGTGTATGCTTGGACTGGGACTAAATTTTTAAAATTTTCTTTGAAGTGTATAATATTTTAATTATGAACTATTTTTACTATAATTCCAAGGCCAAAAATTAGTATTAAATTTTCCAAAACTTTGGGAACATGCCTATATTTTGAGAACATTTCCCAAATGTGAAAGCCCAACTTCCCTAACACAAATTGCCAAATCGTCACTAGGTAATTGCAAACACAACATGCAATTGCCATCACAGTTTACAAAAACCAACTATCTGTTTGTCAATTGCCAAACCACTAGCTGCATGACCTCTACCCTTGGATTTATGCTTCCTTTCTTCCTTCAAAGATGGTGAGACAAGCTCCAAACCATCCCAACATCATAGCAAGCCAATTTCACAACATATATAACATAAAGTTTTACTTAATTCATGGTAAATATCCAACACAAAGTTCACAAAATAAGATGATCAATGGTGCATATACAACACCAAGTTCACAAAATAAGATGATCAATGGTACACATCCAACCACGTTCACAAAAATAAGATTATCCATAGTGGATTTCCAGCACCAAAATTATCAAGAACTCACAAAAAGCAAATTTCTGTCAGCCCTGCCAAAAAAACTACAGCATATAAAGAATTGATCAGATTAATATAAAATAGGAGGAAACTATTCTCGATGATAGAGAGGTTTACATGAAGGCTTTTATATAGACCTCCCTTCGATATCCTATAACCAAGTAAAAAAACAACAAACCTGGAATTAAATACTATAAATGTATGGCTTGATGAATGTTGCACGCATATTACATGGTTAATTAAAGTGTTGAGTAAGGCGCGGGTTTTTCTTTAGGACACTATACCTTGTAAAAAAAAGTAGACAAAGACACTGCAAAAATGATCCTAGTATTTCTTGATGATAAATAGTTCTAAACAACCAATGAAACAAACAATGAACCTATCATGAGGCAGAACGCTTTCGCATGGTTTTGTTTTATATTTAACACAAGAAAATTCATTTAATACAGGGAGGAATAGCCTAAGAGAAATTTTTTTCCAAGCAATTGCAAAAGACCAAATGCAGCAAACCCATTATACATTTGAAAAAGAAAGAGAAAGTGCTAATCAAACAGTGACTTCAGGAACAAAATACTTTCATTTTACAGAGAACAGCACAAGAAAACATAACTGAATTAGCCACATTAGCCCATACCATAAACTTAAATGAACTTAGAACAAGCTAATAAGAAAAACAAAGCAAAACCCATTTCAAAACAACACGTGAGAAACAAGTTAATGCATTTACCAATGGCAATGAGGTCAGTGACAGATAATTTCCTAGCCAACTGATGATGCCCCTCGCTCCTCACATGAACTGAATCAACTTGCTTCCTCTGAATCAAGCTTCTAAACCCCCAAAAACACTTCCTTCCACCACCAACATTACCAGAGCTTTGCATATCAACAAGCACACCCACAAACCAAACACACAAATAGTCTGTTTCTTCTATGTCAGAATTACTATATCATTGAAACAGAGAAAGAAAAAGGAAATCAATCTGGGTCTTTTGAATAATTTTGAGATAAGAGAGAATGATGGCTCTGGGTTTGGATTGTTGGGTCCAAGACAACGACTTTTTGTGATAGTTGATAATAGTGATTGAAAAGTAAGAATATATTACTGCAACGCAGAGTTGTAAAGTGATTTCTTTGGTGAATGCTTCTATTAGCTTTTGGTAGGAATAGGAAGTCCAAAACAATTGAAAGAAACAGAGAAAGAGAAAGAAAGTTATTTGCATTTTTGGAAGGGTAGCCAGAGTTCCAATCTTCAACGGACCTGGGACAAAAGCAATCTCCCAGGGAACCAGTCAAAAAAAAAATATTATATATATATATACAAAATCTTATGCTCTAATTATTTATTTACAGAAATGAAAAAGGGCAAATCCAGTTTACTCACTGAAAGAAAAAAGAAAAGAAACCCAATCCAGTACAAAATTTACCCGCTTTTTATTCGTCCACCGAGGGAAAAGTTGGCGTCAAAATATCAAAAGCCCTGTAAAAATCTATTGATTTTTTATATTTTTAATGAAAGAGTAGAGAAAGATATTGGCAAAAAGAAAAAAAAGACAAGAGGAAGATGAGATAAATGGGAGAGATAGAATCGTAGAAGGAACATGACAAACGATTGAGAATCGATAAGATTGAAACTAAAATCTAAACACCATTTAAAGCAATTTTTAGTTTTTCCTTTTATTATTAGAACCAAAATCCCTTGGCTCAGGCTTGTGTCAATTTGTTATTTTCTATTTTTGTTTTTTTAGTATTAAAAGGGAGAAAATGATGCTTGTATTTCATGAAAATAGGACTCATCTTTTTTTGTTTATTAATTTTTTGCATTTTAAAATAAAAGGATATATTTGAAATCCACCCAAATCCCATGTGGGGAGGCTAGGATTGTTTTGGCTTGAAATCCCCTTTAAATTCCATCAAAATCCACCAAACTCTATTACTTTACGTATGACCTTCAAAGTATGTGACATTTGAATACATTGCGTCTTTAAAAATTTGGATTGAACGCACCCAGATTTGTATGGACTTTATAAAATTCCATTAAAGTCTAAATTGAATACGCCGGAACTTTTATACTCCTTTAAAATCCTGAAAATACCCCTAGATTTTTAAAGTAGTTTAGAATCCCTTAAAAAGTCCAAATTGAATACATAAGTTTAGGAGCGCAAAAACTTGGGAGGTTGGGCAACAATTGAGACCATTCGAGGTGCTTGGGTTGCAAGAATGGCATCCTACCTAAGACTGAAACCAACTCAGCCTTAGTTCATTATCTTTCCTCTCCCTTGAAAGTAAATATCGTGGCCAATGCCTATGATCCGCTAATCTGTTTGCCGCCCAATGTCCCTTGTTTTGTAACACCAAACATACTACGTTCAAGATTTGACCTCATTGCCAGCTGACAGGTTTTGCTTGAACCTATTCTGTTGTTACATTGCTGGTTTTAGCATCTTGTCCCCATCCGAGCACTCTGATAATTCATTAATAAGTTTCTCTCGTATCATTGAGGTTCAATTTGTTTGTGTTGGTGTGTTGGTGTGTGCATTTGGTTGATTGCATCAAAATCAAACCTAGAGTTCTCTTTTTCTTCCATAACAACCCGAGAACTAAAAATTGTCCGTGCCAATGTTTGCACTTGAGACATATATACCTCAGTCCACTGCATCACATTTCATCACTGATTCAACATACAATAGAATACAGATTTCAAAGTACGAGTCTTTGTTTTGGGTTCTTTTTCCCTCTTTGTACATTCCTATCACGGTTTTCTATTCCCTTTCATTCCATATGTGTAATGAAAACACCAATTCAAGACATTTACCATATCAACCTTCTTGCCCAGGACTCATACCTCTTGCATCACCACCATCAGAAGACTGGACCCAGAGGCTTTGACCCCTCTCTCCTACATCTTCCCAGTTATGTCTACGCCTATCAGTTGTATCCCCACCATCAGAAAACTGGGCCCAAACGCTTCGACTCTTTCCGCCTCCGCTTAGTTCCTCCTCAGTTCCTGCAACTGTCTTCAAAAGCTCTGACTGCAACAGTGGGCAGTTCTCCTTGAGCAACTCAAAACCATCTGTTTCCATGACGGCTGCATAAAAAATAATAATTTAGAATGTGGTTATAGTAAGTGTAAACAGAGGACTATAGCATGTAAAAGTAATAGAAACTTTAGATTCCTTTGCTGATTCCAGATTTGGAACTTCTGAACCTCCTGAACAGAAGAATAATTTTGACATTAATTTATGCAGTTGAGATTTGAATTACTAAATTCATAGATTACAGTTAGCCAAAAAAAACAATGAAATTATTGATTTATTGTATTGAATGGGCAGAAAGGAAGGGAGTGCCGATGGCTATAAATAAGGATTCATTGCATAGAACTAAATCACCTGTTTTGGCATGCGATATCAACTTACACATGAGTTTACCCCCAAAAAAAGTAGACAGACACTAGTCATAGAGTCAAAATGCTAAAAATTGAATATCAGGCAGTTACCCCCAACCCTCTCATCCTTGTGGAGTGCAGCCTTAAAGATTAGAAGAAGCATGATGCATATACAAGTAAACAAAAGTTCTCCCGAATAATAAGGGACACATGAACCTACTCAAGTCAAAAATCACAAAATTTTGTGAGCATCAGATAATTTTTTTTATGAATAAGTCAATGAGGCAGCCAAGAGACACGTGAAGAAACTCATAAGCTCAAAATTTAGAATCAGGAAATTCCTTATAAGCCTCTCATCCCTGTTGGCCACAGACATAAATATTGGATCAATCATGCAGTATAACTCTCGATCTCTCTCTCTCTCGCTCTCTCTCTCTCTCCCCCCTAAAAGAAAACTTGTTCGATGCCCCCAGATTCTGCAAATTATTTCTCTATTCTGTCATTACTCTGCAAATTGATATTTTGTTCCACACATTTGAATTCATTGAGAAGCTAACTGAGCAATAAAGAATTCAACTACAAAGTAAACTCTTTTTCCAGTTGGTCTCAGACAGTAGGTCAAGGATTATCACTCAACTCCACTTTGGCAATACCCAGGAAAAAACCTGCTTCCCTGAACAGATTGGACCACGGTTTTGCATGCACAAAACAATGAAGAAAGACATGATTGGTACTTTTTCCCTTTTCCCCAGATATAACACACCAGCTTGGAGACAAGCATGCATTCGTTCACTTAAAGTCCTGGACATGACTTTAAGTCCCGTAAGACACAAGGACAACATCCAAATGAAGACGCTGGTATATTTATCAAGTACTAGAGCACCAACTTAGCAGATGACTAGGTATTTAAATTCATGGGAAGAGAGGGTGGCCTACATCAAGCATCCTGCTATCCTGTAACATATTCTAGGCCTACTTTCATTGTGACAAAGATAATTCATGATGGGGACGTGCAACCTCAATGCCAAAAAATAGAGGAAACCCCAAATCCTTATCTTCAGAAACTAGTCCAAGATTTGTCTTTGCTTGAGAAATACCAGCTGAGGGAAGTGGAGCGTTGGGGGTGGGGGAGGTTGGGAGGTATGGTGGGGCTGGGTTAATTTTTTGTTCCAACTTTTAATTTTTATGTTATTTTATTCTTTTATATATAAGATTTTAAATTTTTTAATTAATTTAAACTGGAGGCCACATCAGCTGAAAAAATGGGACCTATGTTGCCACGTCAACATTTAACGGACTTATTAACAGTAAGAGTAGCAGATGTACCTATATGTACGTTTTTCGTGAGTTTGTGTATGAATTTGTAGAGTCCTACAAGTTTGGGTTCCAATTTGAAATGACTGTCAAAGTTTGTAGGGTTTATGCAGTTAACCCTAACAAATAATTTACTATGTATTTTAGGTTCATTATCTTTGAGTCTTTCTATGTAAAATTATTAATGTTTTAGGTTGCATGATTCTATCTTTCCACATTTTTAAGTGTATTAATTTGGGTCTTTTAAATGATTCTGTATTAATGACTACAAAAGGAACTACTTTGTAGGGTTTGAAAGTAAGTTAACAGTGAAAGAAATTAAAGTTCTCACTCATATGTGAAGAGTATTTATGGGGTGAGTGCTAATGGCTGGGGTTCTCACTCATATGTGAAGAGTATGTATGGGGTGAGTGCTAATGGCTGGGATGCTAATGTTTTATCTAGTGGCTCGTCACAAACCGTGGAAGGGCATCTCTAGTGGTTATCCTGCGTTTCTTTAAGGCTGCGAGTTTGTGGTGGGCGGAGGAGATAGGGTGAGATTTTGGGAGGATGATTGGTGTAGGGAAGGTGTGCTCAAAGAGGTTTTCCCCAGACTCTTCATTCTGTCCAGCAAGCAGCATTCCAGTATTTCTTCTGTTGTGAGTTCCAAGGTGTATCCCGACAATTGGGATTTCGGATTTAGAAGGCACCTTACTGTGGGGGAGATTGATGAGGTGACTAGGTTACTGGTTATCCTGGATGGCGTTAGATTGATTCCCTCTAGGAGGGACAACAGAAGGTGTAAGTCGGATCACTCTGGGTTATACTCGTGCCATTCTTTTTGTTCCTTCATTCAGGATAATGGTTCTGCGGAGGAGTTCCCTCCTTAGCCTCAAATTTGGAAGGCTAAGAACCCCCCAAAGGTTAAAATTCTTCTATGGCAGATTGCCATTGGAAAAGTAAATACTTGTGACACTTTGCAGAGGCATCACCCCTTTATGTGCTTATACCCTCACTGGTGCACTCTTTGCAATATGGACGGGGAAAGCGCGGATCATCTGTTCATTCACTGTCCCTACTCCTTAAAGGTGTGGTGGTTACTTCTGCGGGAAGTTAATGCTGCTTGGGTTATTCCTAAAGGCTGCTTACAGCTGTTATCCTACAAGATTGATGCGCTGGGTAGGGGGAAGAAAGCTAAAGTTCTGTGGGGTTGCTTGGTGCATGCAGTGTTTTGGAACTTATGGTTGGAGCGTAACAGAAGAATTTTTAAGGACTACCAAGGGCGTGGGGGTGGCTGAGATTTGGGATAGAGTGAAGTTTTGGGCAGCTTTATGGGCTTCGGTTACTCCTGTCTTTAAGGATTTGGCTGTCTCTTCTATTATACAAGATTTGTTAGCGGTTGTGAAGTGATGTGTTGCTCTTTTCTTTTTTCATGGGTGGCCTTTTTGTTTGCTTTTGTCCTCTTATCCTTTGTTTGTTTTGGTCTTGAGGTTGCTGTTTACTTTTGTTTTGCTCTTGTGGATTCCTAATCCACTTGCTTGTTTCTTTGTTTATCTCTTTGAATTTATAAAGTTTCTATTCAAAAAAAATTTGTGAAGCATGAGTTGACTAGGAGTGATTCCCAGACACCTTTAGTGTGATTCCACAGGCTGGTGTGACACGGAACTTTTTTAATTTCTGTATTGGAGTAATTCCAATACACCTCTGGTGGGAAACAAAAGGAAACCTCCTTTGGGTGCTAATGTAGAAAATCTCATTTTGAAACTCTTTGATTTTACTCAAAGGAACTTGGAAATCCAAAGGTTACATTAATGGTA